CTGATTGTAGCGCTGACTGTCGGGATTGTCTGTTACCGAAGAACTAGAAAGATATGGGAAGAATCTATCGTGACATAATTTGAGGTGCCCGGTATTTTGCTGGTGCGACTGAGGAAATCCACGAAACACGTGCCAAGATTGTCTGTCTCCGAAATAATATTTGAGTCCAGTATCTCCGAAATATGTAGCAGGAAACCTACACATTCCACCGTGACGTTCGGTGAATTCTTATTTCGTAACTGAGTTTTATGTACAGAATTCGTCAAAGGATTCAGTAGTTGGAAGACAAAGGAAACACAATAGCAAACCGACTTCCTCGCCACGACCGGAGCGTGAAGCTGCTCTCTGTTCGTAAGAGCGAACTTTCTGGCTGGTTTTCATGTTTCCTCCACCATTCTAGGTCACGGTGCCCTACTACAGCAGCTAAATCAGCGCACACTGAGGAAGTTCTCCCCGCCGGTAGTTGCTCTATGAAGAAATTTGCTCTTGTTAGAGCGCAGAAGTGAAGACAACGGCCATAACGTGCAGCAGCCGGTTCACTGTTAGGACCGCATGATTGGTAAACAAAATTTAATTAAATCTAGTCCAAAGATGTCCCTGCTGTTCTCTTTCACTTCGTACAAAACGGGTTATTAATATTTTTTGAGGTACGCCACACAGATGCATCTTGCACAGTGGAGAGATTGGCCGAGGTAAGTTTCAATCTGGCATGAAGTTGCATGCTCCGTTACTCGAAGACAGTCTGTTAAGTATGAGGAAAGAAAATGAAAATTATCACTGAAAACGACATTAACGCAGGAAGGCTACTTGCAATGCACACGCAAGGGAAACTCCCGTTTCCTGGCGCGGATGCAATAAAGAACATTGGAATTCAAGTCCTAAATCGCGTCTTTTTAATTACTTAAGCAAAATTTAATCTCATGAATTTAAATATTGTTCCAACTTTTAGCTGCTATATATTGTGATATTGGCAAGGAAATTATCCATATCACGTTTATTTAACCATGTTGCAACATTTCCTTGCTCACGTGTGAAAGTCACGAGATAGCAAAAACTATCGGAATGTAGGGGATTTCCCTTGATTGGCCTAGAAGCTCCGGCACTTCTCTAAATTTGCGCATGTTCTCCTTGTCCTTATAACATCCTTGATTTCGGGGAAAGGGGCTTCAATGTTATCGGGAGAAATTCAAATTTCTTGATTGAAAATTTATTATATTATTAGCGTGCCGGTGCAGAGAAATCGGCGCTACGGTTTCAGAAACTGCCTTTGTTTTCCACGGTGATTAGGTTCTTGGATTCACAAGGAACCACTTTCATGATGTACAGACCGTAATTCCAATGGAGCAAGCCGTATAGCGGTACAGGAAAATGTATTCACGCAATAAAACGCGCTGTCTTCGGGATTTCACATGCATAACACATTAGTACACTATTCGTAACTGCTCGAACACACCACTTAGTTGTCTTAAATGAAAGTGAAAATGCTTCACACCACAATCTACTGTAAATAATTCCGTTACCACGGTCGCTGTGAAATGTTTGGAGGTTGGTTACGCGTTACCGTCACGATCCACGCGCTTTTGGTATGGAGGAAATAGCGGAGAAATGTTTGTCTTCGCAATTTTGTTGACGCTCTGTTTGGGACAAACAGGACGCAACGGACGCACAGCCCTTTGTTTGTTGTGAACACACTTGGTTGTATTACATCGGATTTGAGGTTTTCATGGCGGCAATATGAAGAGTTTTATCGTCTGGGATGTGACGCCGCATAGTCTGGTGGAAGTTCGTCGACGCTTCGAAGGAACGTACTGCTTCCAGCTTCAGGATCGAAGAGTAAGCCATGAAAGAGTGGACCGTTATTTGGTTAGCAACGTAGTACACAGCTGATCAGAGGAGCAGCTTTACCTCCATACCACTGTGCTTGAGGTTCCCTATTCGAATCCTGGCCTGCAGGCTGTGAACGCTGAGCCATTCTACCTTTTTTACTGTTCAGTTGCTAATTTATTGTCTATTTGACGACGCTGTCAGTAGCTCAGATCATGTAGCATCAAACTTTAGAACGATTAATGAATAATGAACTGGAAAAGATGTGAAGGGAAGCGGTCGTGGCCTAATTAAGGTATTATTTTGGAATTTTCCTGAAGGAACTGAAAGAACCATGAGATCCTTGTAATAGCCGATCTTCCGACCGACAATTGAACAGTGCATCTCCCCATGTGTTACTGAGTGAACAGTGGGTGGTCTATTGGTGCTGCATAAGCGCAAGTGATGTGACTTGATGGCCCAGGTTTGTGGCCCTGGAATAATATGTGGCAGATTCAGAAGTCTGTATGGTTTACCTTGACCTAAGAGAGTTTAGGAACTGTGTGTTCTAGCAGCGTTAATAGAGGCGGTTACGATGTGCTTAACAAGTATAGCTGTGGTGGCCTACAGTACTGGTTACAGAATTTTTGTAAGAAACCCTTTTGCCAGATCTTGGTGGAGATGGTGATTAAGTTTAGATAGTCCCAGGGACAGTCTGTTGTGTTAGGGGTGATGCGTTTCTGGAGGTTGAGGGGCTAAATACCGCTAACTTCGCCGTCGGATGCTGACAGTCGTTCAGCGAGCCAAGAAATTTGCCTTAGCATATCGCAGTTTCTGGAATTCGCCCGTCGTATAATCTACGAAACAGATCGAAAAGTTTCGGAATACCAGGCGGTGAATACAGCTCGGAAGTCCGGAAACACTGAGCGTGACATGTCATCGTCAGAACGCTTTAGCCTTTCATGACAGAGTTCAGCGTTAGTTGACGTCCATACTAGAGGCGGGGCGGGGGAAGAACTCCACTGCCTGAACCCCCACAAGCTGTTGGCACTTCTGTGGCTTCATGGCACCACGGGGAGCGCATAATATACTATTTGGTGTCCGCCCTTGACCACACGAGACTGGTAACGTCATTTCCGGATTGTTTTTCATAAAAAAAACTATAAAGCAAAAATGAAACACATTCAGGACAAGAGTGGCCTCTGTTTCTGTGACTTGCGTCGTTCTTGAACCACGGTTTATGGACGACTCAGAAACCTGACGCTGTACCACAGTGGTATCGTCCGATGCCCCCGCAGTGGAAAGTGGAGTGTGTGAGTAGCAACATTAATGTTATGCGGAGGGTGAATGATATATACGGGAGAAGAGTGACGGATTATTTAACAAAGTTATCAGAAGCTCAGAGCGTATAGTGTCGACAAGTAAAATGATCAGTGAATAATTAATTGGGAAGTATGTGGAAAGAAGTGACCCTGGCCTAACTGGAGGCACTGTCACAGTGTTCGTCAGGAGGGAACGAAGAAGGCCACGAAAATTTGAAGGATAGTCCACGTTCTGGCCGAGATTCGAACTAGCGACCTCCGGAATACAGGTTGGAAGCGTTAATGTTTGAACCAGCTTACTGCTTTACGTAAAAGAGTGAAGTTGTCCCTCTGCACTACGCCTTGTTGGTTAGGCAGTATCGTTTGCTAGCCGGATTAAGCGTTTAGATTCTCATAACACCAGAACGTCTTCGTCTTGGCTAGCTTCCTGCGCCATTACTCATGATGTAATCAGGAACACCTGACTTGTATTTTCATGTTCTTGATCATCTTGCTCACCTATCAGGTTCGGATTCATCTCCCACTTTTCTCTTGGTCGTCCCAATCTTCGTTTTCCGAGGGATATATTTGGCTACTGGGATAGCTCGGTCGGTATAGCGACGGACTACGGGACGAACGGCCGGGTTCGATTCCCGTCAGCGTCAAGAGATATTTCTCTTCTCTACAGTGTCCAGACCGACTTAGGGGCCCACCTAACCGCCTGTAAAATAGGCAATAAGATGACCACTCACCCCCATCTAGTTCGAGGTCAAGAATGGTGGAGTTATACTTCCACTCCCCCATACGTCTTCACGGCGTGGTGCTTGATTAAGCACAGGGACAATCTAATTGTTTTAAACTTTTTATTCGGCTACTAATTCCGTAATTCTAGTTTTCCCTCATACGTTCCACATATGCTTGCCGTTCTGTCTTGTCCACCATTTAATTTATATGTTTGGCCTTTAATTTTGTTTTAAAAGTCCATATTGGTAGCGGAGTGTTTTTTTTTATTTTATTGATAGTATTGGTGAAAGTCTGGCAATCTCCAGTGGTATGCTGTACATGCCAAGATTAATGAAAATCTGTCCGTTGAAACGTTATTGGAAGTAGGCATACACATATCCTGATGTGGAGAGGAAACTAAGTTACTTCGTGGAACTGAGCCGTTCTTGAGAATCAGATATTTGTGCAGCTACTCAACTTCCCGAGGGGGCATGCGGTAGCATAGTTGGTTGAGGCACTATGCTACGAGCTGGAAGGTCGCGGATCAAATCCCAGTGAGGTCATTGGATTTTTTTCATTTTACATAATCCTTCCAGCCGCACTATGGCCCTGGGGTCGACTCACCCTCTAACAGAAATGAGTACCAGGAATTCTCCTGGGGATAAAGGGCGGCCGGCGCGTAAGGTGACAACTTTACCGCCATCTGTGAGCCGATTGTCTAGATAGTGTGGGACCCTCAACATTTGACAACCCTATGGGCCTCCACGGCCTGTTACAAGGATAACTTTACTTTTTTTTTTACTGTTACTCAACTTCCCGGCATTTTATAGAACCCAGAGGTTCATTGCCGTGCTCACAAGTACCCTCCACTATTCCCTATCCTGAACCAGATTGATCCAGTCTGTACCACCCCATTCTATCTCCATAAGATCCATTTCAGTAATACCCACAAACCAATATGTTGGTCTTCGTAGTGGTCTGTTTCCTTCTGGCTTTCCCACCAATGTTTTATATGCATTCATCTTCTCCTCCATTCGTGCTATATGCACTGCCCATCTCATCCTCCTTGATTTGATCATTCTAGATATGAAAAGGAAGCTAATAGAAAACGTTCCCACCTTTAGAGTCCTGGTTCGGTTTGCACCTCAACCGAAGCTTTGATAGCCACGTGAAATGTTGCGGCGGCGACGCGTCGTGCTGTGTGGCGTCTTGCTGTCGTTAACAGTGACTTTCTTCGTGTTCCAAGTGCAATGGACAAGGAAGCCCGCCGCGGAGAAAGCTGCAGTCGAAAGACTACAAGATGGCGAGACGTTGCGCGTGGTGCACCTGGACCTCAAGGGTGCACCGCCAAAGATGCGAGTCCTCAAGACTCTGATTCCTCTTATCGCAGCTGCGGGCGCCAACGCACTCCTGCTGGAGTATGAGGATATGTTCCCGTTCGTGGGCATGCTCCAAAATGCGTCCGCCAGAAATGCCTACAGTAGGGAGGAGGTGAGGTCATGTGAGAACAGCGCTGTGTGTAATGCATCTGTCCCCAGATGACGTCACAACATTAATCGCTGTTGCAGATCCACCAGTTGCTGGTTTACGCCCGCAAGTCCGGCCTGGAAGTAATTCCTCTGGTGCAAACTTTCGGACACCTGGAGTACATCCTCAAGCTGCCGGAGTTCAGGCATTTCCGAGAACTGTCGGGTTTTCCGCAGGAAATCTGTCCGTCTAACCCGGACGTTTTCCGAGTCCTAGTCCAAGAACTGATCGAGCAAGTTATGTCACTCCACCCGACTGCTAAGTGGCTACACATCGGTTGTGATGAAGTGTTCCATCTGGCAGCATGCACGAGATGCACTAGCAGATATATGGAGGGCAGGTAGCTATCATACTGGATGTTGTATCTTGCAGACTGCCCTTTATGGCCGCAGTTGTACAGGGTGTTTTCTTTCGCAGGCTGCTGTTCACAGAGCACGTGGTTCGCGTTGCGCGGTTTGTGCGCGACAGGTTTCCAGGGATCACTCCTCTCATGTGGGACGATATGCTACGGCATTGGCTGCCCGTGGACTTGGCGGACTCGGGACTGGGAGAGTTAGTGGAACCCATGGTGTGGGTATACAGCGAGGACGTAGCACGTCAGTTGCCCCACTATATGTGGTACATGTATGGTCGCGTGTTCTCGCATGTGTGGGTGGCTAGTGCATACAAGGGCGCATATGGAGAGACAGCACTAGCACCCGACCTGCGTCGCCATTCTGAGAACAACCTAGCCTGGCTTCGAATTATGCGGTCAACAAAGGGCGTGCAATTCCGGGGTATGGTGCTGACTGGCTGGGCTCGCTATGACCACTTTGCAGTGCTGTGTGAGCTGCTGCCCGTGTCGGTCCCATCCCTGCTGCTCAACCTGCTTCTAGTGTCTCACCCACTTTCCTCTAAGTCACAAGTCATAGTTCAGTGGACACAAGCACTCTCCTGTCCTCCAGCCTTCACCCCAAATGCATTATTCGACTCTGACCCTTTCCAGTGGCATTTGGGTGCATGCACATTCTTGGGTAGCAACCTGTTCTCTGCTGTGGCAAACTATGTGACTTTACAGGCTCGAGTTGACAGTCTGTACACTGACATGACGCAGAGGCATGGCTGGCTCACAATGTATAATGTGCGCCACAACTTCTCTAGCCCATGGAGGGTGCTGGATGCCCTGACCAATGGCCAGCGACTGGTGCGTGAGTTGGATGCTTTCAGAAACTCAACAGCACTCATCATGTTACAATACTTTGACCGATTTACTGTGGATGAGTGGCTGGAGCAGAAAGTGGACTATCTGACCGAGAAAATGGTGTCCTTACAGCGCTATGTGCAGACCCTGATTGCCAGGGATACCTGGCAGAGGAGACCAATAAGCTAACACCAAAGCTATACTGAAAATTGAGTTGAAGTCTATCGGATCTGGCTGTTTTGCAGTTAGCTAGCACTGGCCACAGGTCCAGCCTCACTTTACTATTTCAGTAGAAACAGGTTTGCCAGACTTGTACCTCAGAATTTGGACAGAGGCCAGAAGCTTTTTGGCCTACTAAACACTTAAACTCTCCTCTTTCTCTATTGTGTGCAGTGTATACAATCCCAAAGCATATAGACACTCATGTCTAATGGCTATATCCTGATGTTACTGGACCACAAAATGGAAGGGCCTAACAAGGGTAATATGATAGAAAAGAAACGTTACAATACAGTAGAAATTGCAGGATTCAGTTTATCCTAAACAGATCTGAAGCCAGACAAGTGCAAGGCTCTACATCATATCCTGTAGTATATATATATATTTGTGATAGTTACCATAGGTGGTATATTCAACGATGAAGGCTCTGCTGTGTGACCTGAAATGGGAATTCACATCCTGTTTGAGTTTATTCATCAAAGCCATGATGTTTGTAGGAACTTCAGACAGAACTTTTGTTTACCATAAACTAATGAGGATTCTAATAATATCCCTATGACAGTTGTGTGAGGGTTCTGAAAATGATGGTGTCCACATATCATTCTTTGGTTGTGTGTGATGAATTACATTTTTGCCAGTCATATTACCACTACTGTGTGCTTCCATCTGGAATACATGAAAATCTAGCATAGTTAGTATTCTTGTACAGTGGTGTTCTCACATAAGAGGGAGAGTCAGTAAATGGGTCACAGATGGGTATAGAACGTAAAATATATGATATTCAGATCTGAGAAAAACATTTATTTCTTGATACATCCTCCACCAACATTGATATACTTGTCCCATTGCTTTACCCGTGTGTCAAAACCCGCAGCACAGAAGTCTTTTGACTGTTGTCTCAGCCACTTCCACATCTCTGTTTTAACCTCTTAATCATCAGTGAAATGTTTGCCACCAAGGTGGTTTATTTAGTGGACAAAACAGATGGAATCTTTAGGTGAAAGTCCATGTTGTAAGGCGGATATTCAAGAAGTTGGTATGGCTCTACCTCCATGCTCCCATATGTCTTCACTGGTTGAATTTCATCACTGTGGCAACTTTGCCTTCATTAAGTTGTTAATTATCATTTCACGAGTTTCATTTTCTTGAATGTTTCATAGTTCAAGGCCTTCCTCTAGTGGTACAGTCTATTTATATTTAGACTTGTGAAGTGGTTGAGGGGTACTTCTTGGTGTACTGTAAATATCTAAACTTGTCATTCAACACTACATAATTTGAGCAATTATAAGCATCATTAAATAGACCATAAACCCAGAACTACAGTAGCAGTCATGTTGGTATGTGCAGAATAGGAAAGCTTTTTGGTGTACAGAAGTGGTCAAGAGTACATGTGAATGGCCGGGTTCGATCCCGGGTCTGGTCAAGTGGGATTTGTGGTGGATAAAGTAGCACTGGGGCGCGTTTTCTCCGATTACTTCGGTTTCCCCTGCCAATCTTCATTCAATCAAGTTCTCCATCATCATAATCACCTGGGGCAGGCTATAATAGGCCAATCAGTAGCTGCCGTGCCGAGTGGACCCAGTAGGACTCCACCCCCCACTAAGCGAATTAAAAAAATGTGTGTCCGGGGATCTTTCCCTGGGGGTAAATAGGTAGGGACGTGAAAATGAACACTCACCTCCATGTAGAACCAAGTTCAAGAATGGTGGTTAGTTCCATAATTAACAGAGCAGAGGTAATTTTACATTTACCTTAGGTATTTAAATATTTTGTTTATCGCAAAGAGGCTTAATTTTAACAAAATAAATTAAATAGGGTAAATTAGCACTTACTGCTAAAAATTGAAATTATCTGATAATATTTAGTGAATGTCTCCTATTCGAAATTCCAACCAAATCCGTTAACTCTTTGTGGCATATTTAGAAAGTACAGTTAGGCCTTACGTAAACTAGCATTTATCACGAATTAATATGACTGAAATTTAGACCACCATACGAAAGCATTCCCTGTGGAAGTTAAACATAAAATATGAAACGGATTGTGACACACACTGAATATTGTATCAGGAAAATAAAATTTATGAAAGATAAATACCGTTGAAAATCGGAATTACCCTATACAAAATTATGATAAGCTGTTATGTCCACTTGAAACAAAATCTGCATAAACGGTTTACAGTTTACGATATAATTTACTTACTTATGGAGCTGAGCCCTTCTTGAGGACAAACCAAATCTGCAGCTACTCAAGAATTTCCTAGCATTTTATGGAACCCGAAGGTTCATTACCGTGTTCACAAGAGCCCTTCACTGGTCCCTATCCTGAACCAGATCAATCCAATCCATACCATCCCATCCTATCTCTCTAAGATCCATTTTAATATTGTCCACCCACCTACGCCTTGGTCTTCCCAGTGGTCTTTTTCCTTCAGGCTTTACCACCAATATCCTATATGCATTCCTCATCCCCCCATTCGTGCTACATGCCCTAACCACCTCATCCTCCTTGACTTGATCCATGTTAGGTGGACCCCTTGTCATCACGGCATGGCGCGTCCTCAAGTTGCGGATGGAGGGAAGCTGCGAATATATTGAATAAGCAGTCGCGGAAAGCCGACAAGGGGTGGTCCTCCAGATTAGGGGTTGGGCGTGGGGCTAACAACTCACCGTAAAAATAACTTTGTTACGAAAATGCACACAAAGCTTCGGACAGTCAGTAACTACAAGATCGGTGTATAGCCGAATCCATACTAGTGCTATCTAGTGGACGCTGTAAAAACCAGAAGAAGAAAATTGTCGGTTACAGCGGCCGAGACTGTATCGCAGTGACCTTCTTTGAATTGTGAGGCCACTCTTTACAGTAGCACTGGTTAATCAGGGATAGATATTACGTGGTATACCACACTTTGATTCGTAATTGATTAATTCTTAGACTACTTTAGGAAAATGTGAAAATATTTCAACCGAAGAAAGAGGAAGTCGGAGGAAACAGGAGAAAAATACATGAAAGAAGTGACACTTGTGTGGAATGAACAATTCTCACAAAAGAATCGTTTAGAGACTTCAAAGAGACGAGTCCACCTGGAGTACCTAAGTTTGAAAAGGAGGATGGCTGTAAAATGGACTTAGAATAGTAGGGTATGACGGGATGGATTTTACTAGATCATAGCGGCATGCGCTTAAGTGTAAGGCTCATGTGAGCTCAGCACAAGAGCAGCGAATTCTATGATTATCACAGTAAATCTAAACTTTCAACTAATAGAGCTACTCTGCCCTTATAGTTAGAACTGTAGAGCTTATTTTGCGTCGAATTAAATTTTAAGATGAAGGGTGAAGATCATTTTGAAGACAAAGTGTAAATTTGAGGGTAATCTAAGAATCGCTTTCAAAGTAATGGGATAGCAAAGTGAGAATAAGGTCCAATTTGTATTTTGAACAAAGTAGTGAACCTTATAATTTCTTGGTACACAGGGATTCTTGATTATCTGGGCGAGTTTTAGCTTGGCAAAACGGACTCTTCACCATGGAGCCATTAAGCCCACATCTATGTGTATCATGGTCGACATTCCTTTCTTGGCGTGTGTCCGTCCGCCTTCTGCTTGTGTTTCCCTCACCTGTTCAATTTCGGACGCCATATTGTTTGTAAAATAGTAACTGATTAGTATTTGGATACTTGATATATGTATTTTACTCTTCACCTTAAGTCAGTATGACGGCGGTACAAACTTCTGAGGAGAGAAAGATGTCAGCACCATTGAATATATCCGTGACGTGTTCTATGACAGGATTTCATTAAGGTAGCGGGAGCATGAATAATGGGAGCCTAGAAGACGGTAACCGCGCAGAATTCTTTCGTGTGAAGACTGGCTGTGTTTCAACACATTACATAATGTGCACTGGAACTATGAATTGTGTTAATCGATTGGAATAACAAACTACACCATTTCATTGGTTGCTGTTCGTAATATTTGTTACAATATAGATATTTAAAATAACATTTGTAATATTAGTTTGAGCACTTTACATATAGAACTTTAAAATACAGAATAGTCTTGCCTGTATCCTTCCCGATGTAAGAGGGTTAGAACGGATATTTTGAAATTGTATTGCACAAAATTCTCACTTATTCCGGAATGTACCGGAATCCAACCGACTTATCTCCAGCCATTAGTGGGTTCGTAAATAACAGATTATTTCGAAAATGTTCCTGAGAAATCTGAGTAAATTTTTTTCCTCCTCATGATTTTTCCATACAAATTATACTGGTACTACCACCAGTTACAAAATTACTAATATTACAAAGCTACATTACTATACTCTACATTATTACTACTACTACTACTACTACCACTACTACTACTACTACTCAAAGCTCCATGATTTCAGTCCGCAAGCTAACCATACCGACCGAGGGACCGCCGCTTGTCGACGAAGTTTAGTGCCAACTTTTGTGGATAGAGGGTGTCGCGTAGTCAGCGCAACGAATCTCCACGGCCGTTAATTTCGGTTTTATACTACTACTACAGGGGGCACGCGGTAGCATAGTTGGTTGAGGCACTATGCTACAAGGCGGAAGGTCGCGGGTTAGATTCACGATGAGTTTATTGGATTTTTTTCAATTTAGCTAATCCTTCCAGCCGCACTATGGCCCCGGAGTCGACTCAGCCTCTAACAGAAATGAGTACCAGGAATCTTTCTGGGTGGTAAATTGCGGCCAACGCTTAGGTCTGACAACCTTACCGCCAACTGTGAGCCAGTTATCTAGAAAATGTGGGAACCTTCTTACTACTACTACTACTACTTCGGCTCTGCGGTCCACCCAGCAACCTTTCCAATAGTTACCGGGTGCTCTTTCTCCGGGGGTAAAGCGACAGGGGCGTGAAGTTGACCACTCACCTACAGCTTGTGCTGAGGTCAAGAAAATGTGGATCTATACATCCACTCCCCCATATGCCTTTATGGTGTAGTGATACTATTGGCCACATAAATACGAGTAGGTATGTAGTAAAAATTCTGGGTTTCCTTTGCGCTATATTCAAGTCCTTTCCTTATTACAGCAGTAACCTTCTTCAAATTGAAGTGTGCATTCTCTTCTTACTCTCCGTAATGTCCACTGTCATAATTCCCCACAGCAACCGCCTCCTTTACTTTAAACTGTAGCAGTCATTTTCCAACTACGTCATCAGTTGCCCTCTATTTCTGTACGATGCACAGTAGGTATTGTTATCTATAGAATCTATAGTCTTCTCCCTGTGCGGCAATCACTGTCTTCCTTCATACAGTAATAATCACTTCATAATCTCCAATGTCCCTTATATTCTACCCTCCTGTATATTGTCGTCTACTTGTGTACGGTATGCATCTGTTTTTATTTGCTATCTTAAATATTTTTTGTTGTGTAGCAGATTTCGAATCAGGCTGTATTTCTGTGCGGGGCGTCATGACCATCACGAGGACCGCCCCGCCCTGCCCCGAGGGCCTGGCGTGAGGCTGTAGTCACGATGTTGACCCCTCAATACTACAGCAGCATTTAGTGGTCAGTAGCGCCTCCATCTACCACACAATTTGGGCCTTTAGGGTTATGTGTACCTTAGCAGGGTTAGCCAAACTATAAGTGTTTTGACTGACCTAGTAATTTTGAGCACAGAGACATTTTGTTAAAGGTTATAGAGAGGGAAGGAATGTAAAAGCAAATGAAGAAAGAAATATATAAAGACTCACAAAAAGGGTACAAGAAGACGCAGCTCTCCATAATAAATTCAGAAGAAAGTAGCGAAACGGCCAGTTTGTTTTTACGTGAAACTGAAAATGTAGGTAAAATACAAAACCAGTT